GCTTACCACCCAAAGTCTAGTCTCCTCTATCATCATATATTTGACCCACAATACCCTTTACATCCTCCTCCAAACCCCCTTCTTTGGAACCTACCATACTGTTGTCAGTGTCTAAAAGAGAGGTTCTTGATTTTTAAAAATTTTATGCTACTTTAGTTATATATTTCTACTAATTCTAAGTTGGAGAAGTCAAACACTTCAGAAAGGTGATTATTTATATCTGAAAAATATAGCGTCTTTTAAAAAAAACATCTCTTTCTTAGCAATATAAAGTGTATGCTGTGTTAAGTGGGAGAAGGGATACACCCTATTGTCTTATTAATGGTCTTACAAAATATTTCTTCTTTTTTGACAGTTCTGTTGAGTTGGAAGAATTGGGAAAATGTCTGGACCATTGAGAAAATGGATTTTGTAACTGGCTTTAAAACTAGGCCAAGGAAGTAGTTTTTCTGCAAATCAGATTTTTAAAGAAAATGCATCCCTTGGGTTAGTCTTTGTTTTTGACATAGTATCATCCTTTCTTAAATGCCCGTAGTTTCAGATCAGTAGGGAGACTACATAATAATTATATGGTATCTATTTCAATTTTTTTTTCATTTTTATAAGTAATTGATATTAAATTTTTGGCAATTTATTTTTACCTTTTTTTCCTTCTTAAAGGAAAATTACCTTAACTTTTTTACAGTCTGAAACAAACACAGTAGAAATGTTATTCTTCTCAGTTAATACATAAATGAAAATTACATTTTTTCTTTATTGGCATGTACCTGCAAATATTAAAGGAGGAGAAAGGTAATATAATTGTAAGTTTATTAAATGTGGTGTATACTTGACCAGCTTATCTAAATTGTACATAATATTTGAACTAGCATATGAAATTGTTTTTAATTATTATATTCACAAGTCTGGGATAATTAGATATTATTTTGCATTTGTAACTAACCGTGATCATTATTTCTTGTAATTTCTTGTACATTTTTATTACTTGTTCTTAATGGATTTTACTTTTGGAAACATGACTTGGCTTTGTTGGAATCAGTTCAGTTTTGTTTTATGTACCTGTTTGAATTTATAGTATTTTAGTTTTACAGAACACTGCAATGGCAAAGAATGAAAGTGTCTATTTTCCCCTCATAGGAAGATATACTGGGAAGGAAATGTTAGTGTTTTAGTATAGTGTAGTTACTAAAAATAGCTCATAGATTTTGATTTGGAAATCTATACTGGCCAAGGATTAAGTATAAAGAGTATATAAATCTTTCCATCTTGAGGTTGATAGAAAATATTTTTGTTCTGAGTCTAATAAGTTGACCTTTTCTGTTAATTAATGAGGTTGTTGAACAAACTGAATATATGGGCTATAATGCAACTCATTTTATAGTGCAGATGTTATAATTAGGTTTTACTTTTTGTTTAAGTGTTTACCATTTATTCCATTAGGAATAAGAAAAATTGATTTTCACGTAAGTTCCTTAGTGTATGCTTGCTCTAGCACATCTTAAAGGCCACTGTTAACAAAGTCCACAACTTATCATGCTAAATCTATATTCTATCAGACTCCTACAGAAAGACCTCAGTACATGCTTTCACTCCCCTCTGCTCCCATTTCTCATTTCTTATTGGAAATCAATTTGATATAATACCGAAGACAACATTTAAAGGTCTTTGTTAAGACCTCATATATAAGAATTGGCCCCTGGTATCATTCCATCTTTACTTTGTCAGTTCACAGATTAACTTTTTGTTTTAGCATTTGAAAAGTAAAGTGCATTTTTGAAAAAACGAGTTTTAAAAAGAAAAAACATTAAAATAGTTCCACTTTTAAATTAAGTGATGCATTTTAAAATTTGTAATTCAAATAAAGTTTCTTGTTATTAAATTGTATCACATTTTGTCATTTTATTTAACATTGAAGCTTGCTTTTCCTTTTGTTTAAAAAGTCCTCCTCCCCCAACTAGTAAGGTGCTCTTTTTTTTTTTTTTTTTGCTATTTCTTTCTCTTTTTTTTTTAAATTAAATCTTTATTGTTCAGATTATTACAGTTGTTCCTCTTTTTCCCCCCATAGCTCCCCTGCACCCGGTTCCCCTCCCCCCCTCCGCCCTCACCCCTTCCCTCCAGTGTCTCATCCATAGGTGCACGATTATTGTCCGATCTTCTTACCCCCCACACCCCTTTCCCCCCCAAGAATAGTCAGTCCATTCCCTTTCTATGTCCCTGATCCTATTATAATCACCAGTTCATACTGTTCATCAGATTATTTAGTCACTTGATTTTTTGATTCACTTGTTGATAGATGTGTATTTGTTGTTCATAATTTGTATCTTTACCTTTTTCTTCTTCTTCCTCTTCTTAAAGGATACCTTTCAGCATTTCATATAATACTGGTTTGGTGGTGATGAACTCCTTTAGATTTTTCTTATCTGTGAAGCTCTTTATCTGACCTTCACTTCTGAATGATAGCTTTGCTGGGTAAAGTACTCTTGGGTGTAGGTTCTTGGCATTCATCACTTTGAATATTTCTTGCCACTCCCTTCTGGCCTGCAAAGTTTCTGTTGAGAAATCAGCTGACAGTCATATGGGTACTTCCTTGTAGGTAACTGACTTTCTTTCTCTTGTTGTTTTTAGGATACTCTCTTTGTCTTTTGCTCTTGGCATTTTAATTATGATGTGTTTTGGTGTGGTCCTCTTTGGATTCCTTTTGTTTGGGGTTCTCTGCACTTCCTGGACTTGGAAGTCTATTTCTTTCACCAGGTAGGGGAAGTTTTCTGTCATTATTTCTTCAAATAGGTTTTCAATATCTTGCTCTCTCTCTTCTTCTGGCACCCCTATAATTCGGATGTTGGTACGCTTGAAGCTGTCCCAGAGGCTCCTTACACTATCTTCATATTTTTGGATTCTTTTTTCATTTTGCTTTTCCGATTAGGTGTTTTTTGCTTCTTCGTATTTCAAATCTTTGACTTGATTCTTATGATCCTCTGGTCTGCTGTTGGAGTCTGTATAATATTCTTTATTTCAGTCAGTGTATGCTTAATTTCTAGTTGGTCCTTTATCACAACATCGAGGGTCTCACTAGATTTCTTGAGGGTCTCATTAAGTTTATCGGCGGTTTCTAGAAAATTCTTGAAAAACCTTAAAAGTGTCAAATTTGAACTCTATATCCAGTAGTTTGCTTTCCTCCATTTCTGTCATTTGTGTCCTGTTTCTTTGTCTCAGCATTTTTTATGCTTCGCTGTGTCGATAGAGTCGCTTTCTGTGCTAAGTGACCTATAGGGCCCAGTGGCTCAGCCTCCCCAGTTACCTGAGGTAGACACTCTTGGTGCACCCCTTTGTGGGCTTTGTGCACAGTCTTGTTGTAGTTAAGCCTTGATTGTTGTAGGTAACACTGGGAGGGATTGACCTCCAGGCCAATTGGCTGTGAGAATCAGCTGTGTCTGCAGTGGGAGAACTTCTGTGCTAGAGACACCCCTCCGGGACAAGACTTGCTTCGGTGGGGCTTTGGTGCTCACTGAGTCTGCCCCCTGAGTGTGTCATTTATGGATCCGAGGAGCTGCAATCTGGATGGTCCCACTCTGACCACCAGGCACACTGGCTCCTGGATTTCTAAGGAGGTGCTAATCTAGCCTCTGCCTGAGGCTACCTAGCAGAAGTCAGCTGTGAAGCAATGCAAGTTGCCGTGGGGCCTTGGGCCAGCTGCAGTTTGTTAAGTAATTTTCAGATTGCAAAGGGCCGGGCCTTTCATATGCAAAAGCCTCCGTGCATGGCTTGGGTGGGGTGGGGTCCCAGGGGATCAACAGGGCGGAGCTAGCAGTTATAGCTGCTCTCAGTCCTGCCCTCAGAGGCCCTGATGCCAGACAGTCCCGTTTCTCCCGTATGAGTCTGGGTCCCCAGAGACTCGCCCAGAACTGGAGCTCAGAGCTTGAGACTCCCTCCCGATTGAAAAAGAAAACCGTGTCCTCAGCTGCCAGCCGTCTCCGCATGCACCTCCGCACCTTTGTATTTTACTTCCGCACCGCACCTCCTCTGAGTCTCAGTATGCTTTTCTCTTTCCTTCTAGTTGTAGAATTTCCACTCAGCCAGCCTTCCTGTGGTTCTGGATGACGTCCGTTCCGTCTTTTAGTTGTATTTTTGAAGTGGTTGTGCGAGGCAGCAATCTCCGGTGTTTATCTATGCCGCCATCTTGGTTTCTCCTCCAGTAAGGTGTTCTTAAAGTACAGTTTTAATTAAGTGATGCCTGCTGGTTTTAAGAAAAAGCTAGTGTTGAACAGTAGTACAGAGGATGTTTCTCTTCTCTTTTTCTGAACCGTTGGTTCTATTGGTTTTAGTTTTGGTGTCACCTCCGTTAAAACTTTTCCATAGTCCTAGCCAATTTGGCTCAGTGGATAGAATGTTGGCCTGTGAACTGAAGGGTCCTGGGTTTGATTCTGGTCGAGGGCACATGCCCGGGTTGCAGGCTCAATCCCCAGTAGGGGGCATGCAGGAGGCAGCCAACCAGTGATTCTCTCTCATCATTGATGTTTCTCTCTCTCTCTCCCTCTCCCTTCCTCTCTGAAATCAATAAAAATGTATTTTAAAAGCCCTAGCTGGTTTGGTTCAGTGGATAGAGCATCGGCCTGCAGACTGAAGGGTCCCAGGTTCGATTCTGGTCAAGAGCACATGTCCCAGTTGTGGGCTCGATCCCCAGTAGGGGACGTGCAGGAGACAGCCGACCAATAATTCTGTCTCATCACTGATGTTTCTATCTCTCTCCCTCTCCCTTCCTCTCTGAAATCAATAAAAATATATTTTTTAAATGTATTTAAAAGAATAAAAGGTAACTCCTACTGTTTAAAAAAAAACACAAAAAAATCTTTCCATAGCTCTTCAAGACTTCCATAGCTCAGTTCTTCACTGTTAGAATGCTTACTACATACAGAGTACTTACTAAGTTAGTACTTTAGATGCCATGAGCACGTCTGTCCTTACCTGAATGAAAACTATTAGAGGGCAGGGGTTATGCCTTAATCACAATTATGTCCTCTTTGTCTAATGAAAAAAGTGAGACTCCTAGGTAAGGGGTTGATGCCTTGAAAAGGAGAAAACACATTATTCTCTGGAACAGGACTGAAGGAGGCAGGAATAGATGCTGATCTATACATATTTATAGGTTACACAGGAAGTTGAAGGGGGTTAGGGACACAATTGTCATAATAGAGTAGGAGGTAAGATGGTTTACCAAGAAAATAAGGGCGAGGGGGTTAGGTTTGGGGTTTGAACAGAGTAATTCAGAAATGGTCAGGCTGAAGAGCCAAGTGTGGGAGATCACCAAGAGAAGAGCATCCTATGCCCTGGCCCGTGTGACTCAGTTGGACATCATCCCATACATGGAGAGTTGCCGGTTCGATTTGTGGTCTGATTCCTGGTCAGGCACATGCCGGGGTTGTGGGCTTGATTCCCAGTAAGGGTTATACAGGAGGCAGTCGATGAATGTTATGCTCTCACATTGATGTTTCTCTTTCTCCTCCCTTCCTCTCACTAAAAAAGAGGGGAAAAAATCAACATTTTTTTTTAAAGCACCTCATTTAGGGCTGAAGTGTGCTATGGGCTCTTGCCAATTAATTTCTAACCCACTACTCAAACCATTCCAGATTTGGGTGTTTGTCGCAATCACCTCATTTTAGATGTCTTTCCCATTCATTTTAGTGATGGGTTTCTTCAAGATTTTTAGGTCTACAGACCAGTATTTTTATTAGTCAACTATGAAGTTACTTCATTTGCCTATCATAAAAATAGTGGGATTTAAAAACAAAATCTTTGTGTGGGAGCTAAAAGATATCTTGCATGTATCCCTACTTAATCTTCTATTACCCAAGTATTTGCATGTGAAAAAAGTAAAGATTGGAGTAAAACTCTTGTGCTTTATTTTTTATTTTTATTTTTTTAAATATATATTTTATTGATTTTTTACAGAGAGTTGAAAAGAAAGAGAAAGAGTTAGACTTTACGTTGAAAATTCCTCATAAACCATCTGACTCATGCAGATCCCGCACTGCGGATGTGCCTGCAACAATGTAACATGCTTGTGAAAGGAATGGAAAGGGACCTTTAAGTACTCAATACGACGCTCGTTTGCTGAGTGAAACCGAGTAGGACCAGTGGACTAAAGGGAGCGGGAAAAGCCCCGCAAGTGTCATATAGTATAGGT